AGGTTGATGATGTCGCCGATCACGATGTCGATGATGCCATATTATTGATGATGAAAATGATGATCTAATCCATTATCAATATTGCTGATAATGATGATAGCAATAATGATGATGATGAYATTGATAATGATTATAATCAACCTGAAAGGTAATACTAGCTAATGTTGCAGATGGTAGGCAGATGTTCATTGATACTCGTGACAAATATGATAATTATTGATTACGTGGATATTCACTGAGCCTGAGAATAATGATTGTTTTAGTATTTTTAATTACACAAGTGAATTTAATAGATATCRGAGAGAGAGGTTCATCCTCCTTTCAAATTGTATTTATCTCTGCAAGCAGCACAAATTGACAAACGGGCATGCACGTGCGCGAGTTATATTCACCTGTAGGTGAATATAACAGCATATGACGTCAATTGTAACCAATGAGCGCGCCGGATTTATTATATTTACTTATGTAAAAATACTAATATTTATTATTTGTTAATGTAGATCAACCTGGTTCCCCCACCACTGTTATTCAAGTTCAGAGCCCACCTCTCCTGCGTGTCTTGCTTAGACTACATCCAGAAGAGAAAACTACTCGTAACGTCATCCGTTGACGCCTCCGTTCGTCTGTGGACATACCAGGGAAAATACATTGGTAAGTCCAAAGATACTATGCAGTAATAAATTAATGTAGGCATCTTGTGAAGCATTCGCTTATTTTCATCGAATTGATGGGTTGCAAGCATTTCCAAGAGAGTTAAAAAACAAAAGCATGGCGGCCTTTGTGGTGCCGTTTACAATGGATGCTAATAAGAAATCTTTTGTTAAATGGCACCAACGCTMCCCGAGAAGCCCCGTTTATAGAGCGTTTTCACTCACGTGACAAGACAGTCATATAGGTGTACCAAACAATATTGTTTTGGTACACCAACATGGCSGCTGTGACATCACCTGAAAACGCTCTATAAAGTACCCTACGTCTTGTTTCCAGGTACGTTCGGCCAAAGATCCCTGTGGAACCTGGGACGAGCAATCAAGGCAGCGAAGAAAATACCCAACGATATCCAACGGGTAGCATCGCCTGACACTATGGCCAGCTTAGGGACGTCAGGTTCACAAAAATGGAGGTATTTGAATGCTGTTTTATTTGTAATGAACGCGGCGGTAATGATGTTGGTGATGATAATGATGACACCTGATGATGATAAAGACAATGACGATGACGGTGATCGTGATGATAATGGTRATAAGATGATGATGGTGATGAGGATGGTGACATGATGATGACGATGATGGTGATAAGGATGGAGATTATATGATAATAGTGATGATGATAGCGATATTGATGATGATATTAATTATGGTTATGATGATGGGAGTGATATGATGRTGATAATGATGGTGATGATGATGGTGGTGATATGATTATGATAATTATGGTTATGATGAWGGTGGTGATATGATGATGATGATGGTGATGTAGATAGTGATGTCAGGATGATGATGATAGTGATAACTGATATTGATGATGGTGGTGATGATACAAGAGCTGAGCCGAGTCTCAGGATTCTTGCCTTTTGTTCCGTACCTCCTCGAGTAGTAATAGCGTGCTTTTGTTTTCTACAACTGACAGAGTTGCAAAACATATATTACGCATAACCAGRCTTGGTATGCAGCTCGCAAACAAGGCCAAGAAGGTGGACACAGAAGCCGAAACTGTGTCCATCAACATCGAAGAAAGCCTCAAAAACGTCCTTGGTAAGCACTACCAACCCAGAAAGAGACATCGCTCATTACCCAGCTTCCAAAAACCCCAGTTCAACCAGAACCAAGTAGTTGTATATTCATCATTACCGTATAAGGACATGGATGTTCTTGAGGAACCCAGGCTCCCGTCGACTCTCGCACATCACGGCCATAAAGCTTCATCCGCCCATCTCGGTGACACGAATAAAAATGTTCGCAAGTCACATGCGCCGACGAGCGGGACGCCATTTAAGCAAGGGTTTCGTAGACCTGCTAGTCGCGAGTCGGCTCGTCGACATGTTAAGGTTAACAAAAGCCCAGAATGCTTGTCTTGACTCGAGTGAAAAGATTTTCGCAACTCTATATTTTGTTAAGCCTTTGGTATTTTTTTGATTTTCAACTTATTTTGCTTGATAATAAAACGACACTTTCCATRATTTCAGGCATGCTTTTATCATCATCATTGGTATCTTTCCCAACATTTTTTCCCAAAAATAATATTAGTTGAACCCTGGATTAACTACGAATATATATTTTGAAAAAGAAAAACATAATTTGGATGGCAGAAAAATCTTTCGGATAAAAAGTGTTTTTTCAAGACCATTTTAAGTACAACTGTTTGTCTTAATATTGTTTATTTTTGATTGTTTGGCTCAATACATCTTGTATTAACGACTACAAAATTATCTTTTGTTACATTGGTGTGCTCGCGCTACTTTGCTAATTTACCTCCCCGAGACAGACTGGCTAGTTAATGGACTAGACTTGGTGTAAATGTAAAACTTGGCGCGGCAAAATGATYGGATGAGCAAGAACATCGCGCATCGTGATTGGTCCAATGGAGGTCACTTGCTCACTACCGTAACCGTGCCACGATTTTCCACACATCAAGTCTACCCCTTAACAACAATGGTATGTACAAACATCGATTTTTTTATGGACCAAAACCGAATCAATACATGGAAAGTTCAACATTCAAATCGTGACCCAAAAAGCCCTGTCATCTTCCTCGTTTCAATCCTTACACCGGTCACGCAACAAAAGCGTAACGTAAGGAAGGTTTGACTTGTGGCTTTTTAAGAGTCTTGGTCTTCAGGGGGTGTGGGTAGGGCCATCACGTGATTGCGTGACCAAAATTAACTTTGATTCAATTCGAAATTATGCATYTAAAAATATCGCAATGTTACCTTTGATTATCTTATCCTTTGATTAGAATTCGATTGTCCCAACGAGAGACTTATTCTCTATTCGATTTACTAATTCAAATTCCCTTAAATATTCACTGCATTACCATCACGTGATGGCAGCCATGACAGGAAGCRACAACTGAATCTACTTTAACATGGTTTCCAGGGGGAAAAGGATTGCTGTGCCATCACGTGATAGTGCAAAGCCTTTATACTCTTGTTTTCTATGGCAACTGCCACTAGTAACTATACTATTCCAGAAACTGGATTCACAAAAATAATTACATCTAGAAACTTTGGTTTCTTACCTAATATAAAACACTTGCGCCATGTAAGCCTGTATCTATGGCTATTATGGGCATAGTCCTAAGAGGGGAGGGGACTGGCAGTAGTTTTGCTCCTCTTCATGTTGTCATAGTAATTCTACTATCGAAACGTGGAGGAAGACTGGTAGCGAATACACCTCGCAAAGAATTGAAACAAGAATTCAATATACGTCCAATACAATACGGTGGAAATCTAAGCTTGTACAGCGCCTACAGATATATATATATATATATATATACACTCGATTGCAGAAACGTTGTAGTATAAGGCCTATTTACACGGCACGATTTGCCGCGCGCGACTTGACGTATACGGCAAAATCAGCTCAAAATCGGGTCGTGTAAATGGTCCTACGACAGACGTACGCGGCCTCAAGACTTGTCGTAGCATTTTAAACTTTGGCTTAAAACCCTACGACATGCCGTAGGAAAATGACGTAAATATGACGATTTTGACCGAGATTGGGACTGAAACTAGTTGATTCCAAAACAAAATGGCGGATTTCCATGAAAACGTCTTTACCGGTAATTAAACACGAAGTGCAAAAATTCTGAATGATCTCATCAAATAACAAGGTAGACATGACTGTGTATGGTGGCATTTTACAAGAAACATTTACTGTAATGACGAGTAAATTGCTCGCGCTTTTTCGTGCCGCGTACGACAAGTTGTGCTCGTGTAAATGGTGCCAAAATTTGCCGTATACGTCAAGTCGCGCGCGGCAAATCGTGCCGTGTAAATAGGCCTATACATTTATACAAATATACAAATATCTAATGAGATGCATAATGCAAAATAACCATTCCCAACGCTTAAAACCAACTGATTTATAATCTGTACGATCTAATAGACAAGAAAAAAATATTTTGACAGTCATTGAATGAAACAAACAATAAAGAAACCGATTTTTCCTTTTTGCATATCATTAAATATACTGAATAAATTAGATATTTGTATAAATGTATACTACAACGTTTCTGCAATCGAGTGTGTATATATATATAATATTCGCAAAAATATTTCAATAAATTACGAGATCATCTCCTAGGTTACCAAGCTCTTTGGTCTTGGCAACGGTCAAGCCAGTTTTTCGAGATATTATACGGGACGCTATTGGTTATTTTCCTTGTGTTAATCATCGTCTATTTTCTGCTGCAATGCGCTTGAGATTGGATGCCAGATCGCGGTGTCCTGACTCTTCGAGTTTTTCTTGAAGCTGAAAAACGAAAATGAAAAAAAGTTAACATCATTTGATTCGGTGCTGGCTAGAATTTTGATTTGGGAAATAAACTGAGAGAGTGAAAAGTGAGAAGTGGATGGATTTACTTGCTCATTCATTTATTTAAATAGGCAAATGAAAAATGGGAAGTGGGTGGAAGGTCGTTCACTGACTTATTCTTTCATTTAAATGACCGAATAAAAAGTGGGAAGTAGGTAGAAGGTCGTTCACTGACTTATTCTTTCATTTAAATGAGCGAATGAAAAATGGGAAGTGGATGGAACGTCCTTCTCGAACTTATCCTCATAGGGAATAAACAATTGCAGTTTTTAATACAGAACCGAAGAAGCGCCAATTATCAAGGATGGATCAAGGGCATGTCCATTCATTTATTCATTAAGTCTTATATTCCCTATGGTTTTTTACCTGGTCCTGGTACTTAGTGACGTAACGGAAAAGCTCTTGTAGTGCATGGTCTGTATTGAACATCCCATTATATTGCTGTAAGGAAAACAATTTGAACTTTATRAGCACTTAATACATACACACTTTATTTGCATTTCCCAATATGGGCTTTTCAAAAACAATAAATTATAATGTAAGGAATGGACCATGACGACCAAAAAGGTGGTAATAGATAGCAAAATGCTGACTTACTACTGACAAGTCGGCTAAGAAGTCCTTTAGCTCATCGTCGCTGGGAGACGGTTGAGTTTGTACGTTGCTATAATAACTGCAGCAAGAATATTATCATTAATGTGATGTAGAAAAAAGAGACGAGGAAAGAAAGGAAGGATGAGAGAAAGGGGGAAAAAATGGCAAGAAGGATGGGAGAAGGAAAGGAAGGGAGAAGAGAGGTGGAACAAAAAGAGAAAAAAGTTCTTATTAGTTTTCTTCTGCAGGTCTTACTTCTCGACTCGTTTCTTGTAAGAAGGGATATCTCTGTTGTACAGAAGTTTGTTGGAAGGCGAGTCCTGAAATGATGAAAAAATATATATATAATTTCTATACGAAAGGTAATGATGCAAACATTGTGAGATAAATAAAACAGACTAATTAGCAATTATTTACCTTTCCTAGCTCATTTTTCGAGGTGGAACAAGCATCCATGAAGAGCTGGAAGAAATTGTCATCATTTTAAGCGATAGTATTTACAACAAAGTAGTTCTGCAATTAGCGAGTTTGTTTTTGACCTTTACTAAAATATCGAACATGGTGCATTGTGGTATAACTTGGGTACCAACATCTTTTGTTTATCATGCCTTATATGGTATTGTTTGTACCCAATCTAGACCATCATGCATCCTGTTTATCGAACTCATAAAAGGCCTATGAGAAAGTTCAGACACTGCGCTCCCTTTTATTGCTCCGCTTGTTTTGGGCTGCCTGTGCTCGTGACGGAAGGACATACAGACACACAGGCGGACAAGTAGAAAGGCAGACAGGCAGACGGACAGACAGGCAGACGGACAGACAGGCAGACAGACGGACAGAAAATAACTTGAGAAAGTCATACGAGAATACTAACCTGTGCAATAACTGATAGACAAGAGTCCACAATGTTTGGCTTGAATATATCGAATACAAAATTAGGATTCTTGATGATGTTGATCCAAAACCGAAGTGGTAAGCTGTGAACAGAACAAAGAAAAAAAATTCTAATATTCTTAAAAATACACCATTATTTATTCTCATTCGCACTTATTTTTTATCTAATTTTTGATAAACTCTCTCACTCATTTATTCCATTATCCGCTCAGTCTCATTTGCATTCATTCTTCCATCCCCAATCTCCCTCCCTCCCTCATTCCCTTCCCTCCCTTCCTCCCTCCCTCCCTTCCCCCCTTCTTCGTTTCTTTTTGATTTCCCAACCTGTTATTCTTCCAGGTGTGAAGTACTTCAGGATCTGCCAGGTTCAGCGTCTGTGCTTGCTCATCCAGCAAATCAAATAGAAATTTCACAGGTAATGGCGCTGTTGAGGACCGACGATTCATAGAGAATACTGCTTCAAATAAGCCATCAACAAACTTTTGTAATGTTCCCTGGTGAAAGAAGAATTAAAAAGGGATGAAAGCTTTTCCACTAGATCCATATTCTCGTCTTCGTACACTTCGTTCACAAGAGCCAGTCAGCGGCAAACAACATAAGCGCAGGCGCAATTTAACAAGTTTTCTGCGTTTTGATTGGACAAAATTCAAGCGGAAGTAAAGTTACAAATATAATGTCAGTACAGGAGGGGAGGGGAGGGTATGGTTTACCTTGGTGGCCAGTAGTCTTGTAAGGTAGATCTCTGATAACATCTTACTATGTCGTGCATCTTCTTTGTCTGTCGGGTAATCAAGCTGTTTTACCTGAGTAAAAGTACGAGATTGTTAAAACCAAAAAGTACACAAAAAAATGAATAAAATAAAAACAACAACAAAATTAATAAAAAGTTGTCAACAAACTCGTATTCACGAGAAAATAATCATTCAACGCAAAACCATTGGGAATTATTCAAAGAATAGATAGATATAGACGATAATTATTAACGAAGGTTACACTAAATAGCTATTAAGGGAGCTAATGAACTGGTGGCCCTCAAAAAATACGAAAAATGATTATAAGAATAATATATACGAAAAGAATGACTAGAAGTTTTTTGAGTAGGATATTTCGGACGATATCCATCGTCCATCATCAGTTTAATGACTCACTAYAAGTGTATTACAGTGAAATACTATAAAGCCTTAGGGACTAATACGTATTACAATGAAAAAGAATAATATAAAATAATAGAACAATTAAAAAATGATAATTTGAAGGCTATAAAACGATACATAGATTATTATACTTAACAAGTCCTAGCTTGACGTTTCTGTGGAGACTATATAGACGAGTTCAGTCCTGCCACGTCAGGTAAATATTAATGTCTGAGTGTAAATCGACGTCGAAGAAGCAGGAAACTACGAATGAGCCTTATTCACAATACGGAACCTCTCAACACAAAGCAAGAAATAACCGTGCCGTGTCCCACGAAATCCCTGAAATTTTCTGGTCCGTATCTTAGCAAGAATCCACGCACTTACTTAAGATTAGTTACAAACTGATACGCTGTGGAAAAACTTACCAGATGCCAGGTTCGACCACCCTCTTCTAGTAAGTCTTCTCTGCTTCCTCGGGATAGTGCAGTATAGCTAAAAGGCTTGAATGTAGTCCTTGGCAAACTTTGTAGATCTGCCAACACCAAAATACAAAATAAAACATGATCTACAAACACCATCATCATCGACATCATCGCCTTCATTATGCTGTACTACCAGGCTTTTGATTAGTAGCGCATTTGATTATATTATTATAGAATTTGCGCGCGCGTTATAAGTATTCAACATGAGTATTATTGTTTAGGCTAACCTGATCCGGCACTTCCGTAGAAATGCGTGTGATGAACAGACAGTTTCAGTAACGCTCCATTTGGAATCTGAAAACAAAGGACAGAACATATTACTAGGATTCCTTCACAGAAAACACCTTTACTCATCGCTAAATGATGCTAACGGCCTACCTTGTAATGGGCAAGCGTGTTTAAGCATCTCCAAGGCCCATCTATGACACTTGAAGCATCGTCATCAAGGATAACTTTTTCTGTTCCATCGGACATGACCCAGCCTGTCGTAAAGCAATAGGCATGAGCTTGAGTTCCTTCCAAACACGAAGAGAAGAGAGGAAAAGAGAAAAGAAGGGGAGGGGAGGGGAGGGGAGGAGAGGAGAGGAGAGGAGAGGAGAGGAGAGGAG